TATCTAGAACGCAAGGTGTAAATCAGCCAGTATTCTAGATAGCTGAAAGCTTTAGAAAATAGTGTCGTAGTGCAATAGTGCATCGAAAGTTCAGTTTTTATGAGGAGGCAATATCGGAAAATGAATGACTATTCAACAGGTGAATGATATTCATCATTTTGAATGATACGAAATCGCTTGTTAAAAAGTATTCGTCGTATCAACATAGACCTAACGAGAAGATATAAGGCGTAGGCCAAGTTGTGATTCATTCGCAATCGCATGAGTCTGCCGCTGATCGCTAGCTGCGTATTGCATAACCTTTCGATTTTTTTTATGAGCCTTGAACCTGAGAGAAAAATGAAAGCAGCCCTAAGATGACGCCGTTATTCTGGGTTCCATGCCAGTCTTAGTGTTGGTGTTAACACCGAAGCTGGTGGAGAAGCCCCTCAACACTAACACCAGGAAATAACACCAACACCCGATTTGAACTCACCCGATGTCTAAGTCGAGCAACTGCTTTGACGTCTCTTTGATCTATCTGCTTTCTGGCTTGATACAAAAAAAAACTGGAGACACGGAGAACGTCCAACTGGTGTTCTCTGCTGTCAAGGTCGCCATAATTCGGCGCAACCTCAAGGAATACAACCTCGCGCGATGTCATGACTTCTCGACGTGACTGCGTTCTTCCTCTCGTTGCGCCCCTCCACGCTGACCATCACGCGCGGGTGTCCTTGCGCCCAACTTGCTTGCTTCGTTCACCTCATTCTGAGCCGTCTCTGAATGCTTCGAAGATGCCTGTCAGTGATGAGGTGTATGGACTTGTTTTATGGATTCTTGCTCTGGATCTGCATTTTTGCTTCGTGTGAGCTGTGCTGGCCCTGAAACTACCCAGCGATGAATCATGTAATAGTCAGAACAATCAATGCTCAGCCTACAAGGATACGACAATCGATATTGCAGGTGATGCAGTGGCGTAGCAACCGCCCAAGCAGTTGCGGGGGACCCAGGCCTAGTGGGGCCCCAAAATTCCCATCGAACATGCGAAATTTCTCTTAATGTTAAGAAATATTTGGAAAAACAAAAAATGATTAAATAAAAGCAAATGGTTACCGCCCATAGGGGAGGGGCCCTGACCGACTCTTAACGTCAAATTATCAACCCAACAGAGGCGAGTGCGAACTTGTTTACTTGTCTTTGGAGAGGGCAGCACTCCCAACGTCAGGCCATATCATTGCAAGTTAATTTTATGGAATATCTGCACCCTGTCGGACGCCGTGCAAGTACAGTGTGTGCCTTTTAAAAGTGTCCCATACTTGTGCTGGCCTGACCTATGGCCTATAATAGCGTCGCATTGTAGGCCTAACGCGCAAGGCCAGCACAAGTATGGAACACTTTTAAAAGACACACACTGTATGACCATACATGAACGTGTCGTAGCTGAGAGAAAAAAGGGTCACTTGCGGTTAACTTCGGTGGGGAACACCATCATTCAGTAGTTGAGTTCGTCTCAATCAAAAAGTTATACAGACCGTAAACTTAAAAACTTTTGAGTTATTCTCAAACCACAAAACACCCTTGTGTTTGTGATGAGTAGCGAGACCAGTGGCGCTGCAAAGAGGAAAGAACGTCGGCAAGCAGATCGAGAGCCACAAAAAGTGAAAAAGATTGCTAGAGGAGCTTCAAGTTGGCTGTTTGCCGACAGAAAAGACTCAAAATACCATTCGGCTTGGTCAACGGGCATACGTGACTGGCGCGGACTTTCGCGAAAAATTAAGGACCATGCTAAATCAGCTCTCATCTTGCATGACCTATGTCCAATGGAAGCAGAATGGCACAATTGACAAAGCAGCCGAAAGTCAAGTACGGCATCAAAAATCCTTCTGGAAACAAGTGCTTGATCGCTTGATTAAAATAACTCTTACATTGGCTACAAGTGCCCAAGCGTTCCGCGGTCGCAGAGAAAAAATCGGTGAAGCGTACGACGGAAATTTTCTCTCTCGGGTGGAGCTCTTGGCTGAGTTTGGTCCTGTGATGAAGGAGCTTCTTCACAGGCCCGGTGGGAAAATTCATTATGAGTCCTCAAATACAGAATGAGCTCATTGAGCTGCTTGCAAATTATTTGGAAATAGAGCTACTGCAGGATATCAAAAGTGCGCCATTTTTCTCAATCATTATGAATACGACTCGAGACATCTCAAAAAAGGACCAACTGAGCCATATCAAGGTTTTGTCAAGGTTCAAGAGGATGCAATCGGGAAACCGTCACAAATCGAGATTGTCGAGAGTTTCCTTGGATTTTACCAGACCAAGGACCAAAGCGCGGCTGGAATTTCTTCACAAATTTTGAGTACCATGCATGAAAAGGGGCTCTCTCTTGCGAAATGTCGCGGGCAGAGCTATGACCGTGCACATGCCATGAGTGGGGCCTACACCGAAACCCAGAAGAGAATTTTCGAGAAGCAACCAACCCGCGAAATACGTGGATTGTGCGGCGCATAGCCTCGACTTGGTTCTAAATGACGCAGTTTGTGACGTCAAAGAAGTTATCAATTCTTTCGCATGTTTGCAAGATCTGTACTCCTTCTTCGGGCACAGCATCCGTCGTTGGGATCTGCTGTAGGACATGTCGGGGGAAACCGAAATCACCCTAAAGAAGCTAAACCCTACACGCTGGGCGGGTCGCCATATGTCGCTGATGGGAGTAATGCACCGGTATCACGATGTAATGAAGACTCTCGGTCTAGTCATCCTTCAAAGTACCAAGAAAGAGGAACGAGAAGAGGCCAGTCGAATCAAGAGGAGCATGGACAATTTTGAATTCGTGCTTCTGTTGGTGCTCTTATCGAAAGTTCTTGGAGAAGTTTTCGTGGCCTCCAAATACCTTCAGTCCAAAGATACTGATTTGTTGAAAGCCACACAGCATCTCGAAATGGCATAAGATCTGTACTCCTTCTTCGGGCACAGCATCCGTCGTTGGGATCTGCTGCAGGACATGTCGGGGGAAACCAAAGTCACCCTAAAGAAGATAACCCCAACACGCTGGGCGGGTCGCCATATGTCGCTAATGGGAGTAATGCACCGGTATCACGATGTAATTAAGGCTCTCGGTCTAGTCATCCCTCAAAGTACCACCAAAGAGGAACGAGAAGAGGCCAATCGAATCAAGAGGAGCATGGACAATTTTGAATTCGTGCTTCTGTTGGTGCTCTTATCTAAAGTTCTTGGAGAAGTTTTCGTGGCCTCCAAATACGTTCAGTCCAAAGATACTGATTTGTTGAAAGCCACACAGCATCTCGAAACGGCATACAAATCCTTGCGCAACTCCTCATTCACCTCATCAACTTCTCTTCCTGATTCACCTCATCGAAGCAATGCATTGCTTCGATGAGGTGAATCAGGAAGCCAAAAATATGTCCGAAAAATGAGGCTTGACGCCAGTATTCAAGGAGAAGCGGTGGAGTCAACGGAAGCGTCACTTTGACGACCTAGCTGCGGACCACAGGTTGTTGGACCCAGAGAACCACTTTCGAGTCGATATCATCAACAGAGTACTTGACATCACCACAACGCAGATCAAGCAGCGTTTCCAGGCAATGGATCTCATCGTAGAGTATTCAGAGATTTCCTCAAACTACATGGATGTGTGCACAGCCCTGCTGCTCTTCCTCACGCTCCCTGTGACTGTCGCTAGTTGCAAAAGGTCGTTTTCCAAACTTAAAATAATCGAGAATTATCTGCGAAACTCAATGAGTCGACGACGCCTGAGAGGCCTCGGATTGCTCTCGATCGAAGCAGCGCGGGCTAAGAAGATGGATGTACTAAGACTCATCGACATGTTGGCCGAGGCTAAAGCAAAGAAAAATCTCATTTTGAATGCTTGGACGCCAATGCAGTGCATCACATTTATATCTTCCTCTTTTCCCCTAATCTTATCTGGAAAAATTCTTCCAATGTATACATGCGTCGATATCAGATTGTTTCGTTAATACAGTGAGTAACAAACCTGTTATGAGAAGATGAGTTTTTTTTATTGGGGGGGCCAGAATTAGGTTTTGCGGGGGGGGCCAAGATTTCTTGCTACGCCACTGAGGTGATGGCACTTGTCTGGTTGTGGTCAAAGTTGATCCGAAGAAGGAAGGAGTGGAGACACTAAGGCAATATAGTCTTTATGAGGTGCCCAATTTCTTCCTGTAAGGTCTCGCCTTTTCCCATCCCTCACATACCAACCTGGAAACGTAACATAATTCAAACATTTTGAAGTTATTGAAGGTGAATTTCCTTTTAGGTCGCACCTGAGCCGTACCTGCGAGTATCCATTCTGTGAAGATGTGGAAAAGCCTTTTATTCTTAAGAATATGAAGATCCCCCATCATAATATGCTGATGGTATTCATTTAAATAGGATTTGAACTCAGGAAGTTCACAACGACAGGGAAGCTCTTCAATTCTGTCAAAGTCTAAAGTTTCGATAAATTTCCTATAATTGCATACAATTACTTTCAATGGTTTAGAGAGTTTTTTATCATTATTTTATCATTCATCATTTCTAAAAATAATTATTTATAATTATTATTAAGAAATGGAGGGATATGTCGATTCAAGAGGAAATTCCTCCTTTAGTTGAGAGGCCCCAAGAGCCGCCTTTAAAGAATAACAGGATCCTCATCAGGGCCAAGGTCCTGCTTGAGCCTCCAGTGTGGAAAGATCTTTTTCGGAAATCCCACTGGAGCCAAAATAATAATAATAATAAATTTCTTCCTGTAAGGTCTCGCCTTTTCCCATCCCTCGCATACCAACCTGGAAACGTAACATAATTGAAACATTTTGAAGTTATTGAAGGTGAATTTCCTTTCAAGTTGCGCCTGAGCTGTAACAAGTACATTCTGTGAAGTGTGTAACTCCTGATTAGCTTAATTCAGAAGCGCTTGAACCTTCCTTTGGATCCCTGTGGCTTCTTCAAGCTCTCGTGTGTGAGTCCTTCAAATATGCTTATTGAATGACAACACTGTGGACTTCTTGCGACGAGTTTTTTATTTTTATGGAGGAGGCATGGAACTCAGTCATAAGGCAGAGAATCGGTTGTACTAAGTGCTCGTGGATCCCGTTCGCCGTTTGCATCGTGAGCAGAGATGCAATTGCGTTTGCAGAGAAAAATAATTAAAAAAAGAATTGAAGAACCAAATGAAGAGCCACTCATTGGAAGCCTTCATAGGTGCTTCCTCAATGAGTACTGAAGCTTTTTTTTTCCTGCACTGCTGTTTTGCATGAAGATCAAGTGATTGCTGTGGTCACGGTGCTGACACGATTCACTATTTTTTTAAACGATTGGGCATTTCAGTGGCTGCATTGTTTTGGGGAAAATGTGTTGCTTTCCGCACCGAAGACAATGCGAATTCGAAAAGGCATTTTTTTTATGCTGAGGTTTCTTGGCTTCGCTTCCTCCATTCCATGTTACCATCTCTGACAAGAGTTTAATGAATTTCATATGATGATCCTCGACACCTGCGTTTTTCTATTCCCGACGAATCTCGTCGATAACGAACAGATTATCAATCCTCTAAATGTTTACGGTTGCGAAAAGAAGTAGCGTTGAAAAAAACGACATGCTAATTAATCGTACAGCCTTTTAAGGCTGTACGATTGAACTGGACGGGACCTAAAGGTGAGAGGCGAATAAATACTCGAGGATCACAGGAAAAGGCCTGTAAGGTATTGCACAAAGAGTCTGCAAAATGAGCTGAAGATCCCGATCCCGACTCGACGGCTTCGACGTCCACGGTCCTCCGCGGGTGGGAATCAGCCGTTGAACCTCCTCCGCTGCAGCATCCGCATGAGATCCATGAACCGGAGGAAGTCGTCCGGCTGCATCGGCTCGATGGCGTTGTTCTCCTCCGGATTCGCCTGGGGCGCGGGCTGCGGGGCCGCCGGGGCCGCCGGGGCCCCCTGCGTGCACGCCCGGTAATCCACCCCCATCGTCTCTGTGGACGAGCGCGATTACTCACTGCAGTCGAACGAGCGAGGAGTCGGAGCGGAACCGAGACTGACCGCAGAGGCCGGGGAACTGTCGGGAAGGGATCATGCCGAACATGTCGCATGCGGCGCCTGCTCCCGTGCGGTACATGCTGGCTCCGATGATGTTTCCTCTGGAGAGGGGAAAAAATTGGCTCGAGAATGAATCCAGTTTGATGTTCGCTTTCGGATTTTGCTCCTTCCCGTTCCTGGATGCTTAGGCTGCGGCATCCCATTACGGAGACGGGTACAGAAATTTTTCTTAGGGGGCGGTTCCCTACTTCCTACAGGCCCCTCCCCCCCTCCCCCCCGCCTTCCACCACTCCCAGCTCTATTGTCTTTTTCATTTCTCGTCTAGGGTAAAATCTTGAATGTCAATTTCATTAGCCTCAATAATATTAACGTAGAAGCTATTTTTAAAAAACGAGGGAAAATGTATTGGTGACCTGGCTATAGGGGCCGGTCTCCCCCCCCCCCCC